ACGTTCGATAATATAAAAAAAATATATTAAAATACCGATAAACTCCGTATTAATACTTTTAAATACTTTAATTTTAAATTCGAAAATATAAATAAACTTTTTTTAAAATAAAAAATTTATAATTAAATTAAAAAATATTTTATTAATACCGCTTTTAAATATAAAAAAAGTAATCGTAAAGTTTAGTTTTTAAATAATATATTTTAAAAACTTTTTAAAATTTATAGCTAAATATATAAAAACTTTTTAAAAAATAAAATATAAATTAATAAGCTTTTTATTTACGCCGCGATTTTTAATAATATTTATATAAATAATATAAAATATATTAATAATAATATCGTTAACGTTATTTTTAAAATCGGTCGTTTTAATTTATTTACTTTTTATAACGTTAAAATTTATAAAATAATATAAATTAATAAAATAAAATTAAATAAAATTACTTATTATTTAAAAAAATATAAAAAATATATCGATATTTTTATTAACGAAATAGCGGTTTTAAAAATTTATTTTAAAAAATATAAAAAATAACCCGCCGTTAATAATAATATAATAAATACGGTTATAAAAAACGTTATTATTACCGTTTATTATATAAAAATTATAAAAAAAACGGTTAAATTTACCGCCGCTATATAAATTAATATATAAATTAAAATAAATAATATTTTAAAATTTTTTTAAATTAACTTTATTAATAAAACCAATTAAATAAAAAAAGAATATAATAAAATAAAAAAAAAATTAATATTAAAAATAAAAAAATATAAGATTTTTATTAAAAAATTAATACTTTCGCCATAACTAAACCCGGTTTTATAACTTCTATAAAATAAATATTACCGTTATACCCGGCTTTCGTATAGCCGACTTCTTTATTATATAAACGCCCTTTTTTAAAAAAATTAATAAAAAACCTATCGAAAAAAGCTATTAATTTAAACGTTATTTTCGGCCCTCGTTATAATAAAAATTAAATATCTAAATATAAAATTACGATACGTAAAAAAAAAGAAATATTAAGAGTTAAGCTTATTTATTTTAATTAAAATAATTATTTTTATAAAAAGGGTATATATAATATTTCTTTATAATTATTTAGTAATTTAATTACGTATTAAAACGATTTTATATATATAAACGGGCTCGCCGTATCCTTTTATTTAAAAAAAATAATAATAAAAATATATTTATTATAATACCTATTTTATTATTCGCTTTATTCTTTTATATTACTTTTTTATATTACTTTTTAATTATATTATTTTTTATAATTCATACGCTTAGCCCGTATACTCACCCGGCTAGCTTATAATCTTACCCCTTTTATTAAAAATACCCTTTACTAAAGAGACTGTGATAATAATAATAGCCGGGCTAACGGTAAAAAAGTTAACAATAAAAATATTAAAAATACTAATACTAAGGACATCGATAATAATAAAAATAACATTAATAATAACGGTATTAATAAGGCCGTTACTATTAATTCTATTACTAATAGCTTTACTAATACTAATAACGATACCTCTATAGCTAGGATAGCTAGCGACTGTAAAAAAAAAAATAGCCTAACCGATACTACCGTTATTACTATTAAAAAGCTTATAAAATTAATAGTTTAGGAAATATCTACGATTTACACTACGCTCGCCTAAATTAAAGCTAAGTTGCCTTAAAATGCTATCTTTACTAAAGTAAATTATATATTTACCGTAATAACTTCTCTTAATAAATACAGGCGAACTAGTCTAGTAAGCGAGGTCTAAAAGAGGTAAAAAAATACTTAAAAATAAAACAAAAGGCTTAAAAGTCTAATAACACACTAAAAGCTTAAGAATTATATATAAAATAGATAATCCTTACTTATTTCGCTAATAATTAAAAATAAAGCGTACTACTAAAAAAATACGTACCTATATAAGAAAATTTACTTAATATAATAGTTTAGGAACTCCCTACGCTAGCCAAGATAAATCTTAAAAATATACGTAATTAAAGGCTCTTACCGTTCGAACTTCTTTATATTAACTTCTAAGCCTCGCAAAGGCCCCCTTCCGAATTAACGTAGATCATAAGCTTTTAAATTAAAAAGAAGCTAACATAGGTATTTAAAATTTTATAAAGCTAGCCGACGGTAATCAAATTTTCCAACGTAGCTCCTATTACTAATTCGGTAAAAATAAGATTAATATAATCACTCCTAACTCCTTCCTTATTATTAACTACTTAAGAGCCGTCGATAGTGCTAACTCCGCGTATTAATAACGGCCGCGATTTCACTACTTAAAAATAAATTTTTAAGCTCTACAGCTAACGGTATTACATTACTAAGGACCTGCTATAAAGCGTAGCAAATTATAAAAAGGCATAGATTAACGGCCTAGAGTAACCGCTTTACTTACTAAACGGTAGTAAACGGTATATTCATATTCGCGGCTTTTTAAGACCGGGCGTCTTTATTATATAAAAGCTAACGTAAGCTGTAATCACTATTAAATAAGTTAAATAATTAATAATATATCCGACCCAAGACAACGACGTCAGCTAGTACGCCAAAATAAAAAAACCCTTCAAATACTCTAATCGCAAAGAAAACGAAAAAGTAATTTAAACGGCGGCTAATAATTAATAATAATAAAGTCGTAGTATTAATCTAACTTTAAAAATACGGTGGGTACGGTCGGAGCTTAGAGGCCATTCGATTGCCATTTATATAACACTAGCCTAATTTCTCAATAAGGAAAAAAACAAATAAATAAAAGTTATAACAGCCGGTCCAGGCTTAGCGGAATAGTCGCACGCAAAGACGCCTTAGCTAAAGCCATTAATAATTATATTTAGATATATACAACATAGAGCTTAAAATATTAAAAAATATCGTCTCTTTATTTATAAAAGGAAGTAACGGCAAAAGTAAAGTGTCCAAAACTAGACTATAACGAATTCAAAGACTTCTTAACCTAGATCTTTAGGGACAAGTCTAAAAAAAACTCAGCATACTATACAGTATCTTCGTACATATAAATAGCTTAATAAAAAAAAAAAAAATTACCTTAATAAGTAGGTTTTCAATTATTAAAGTAGCGCTGAGGATATCGCGGTTATTTTATAAACGCTAAGTTACAATACGTAACCAACAATCGTTATACATTCGATAAGCGGATAAGGACTAAAATCGAGAATACCGAAAGTAAAGGCTAGTTCGTAGCTTTATATCGGCGGCTAAAGGCTAATTATAACGCGTAACGAAGCGAATTCGATAATTATCATATATCTAAAACAGCGCTAAAATCTATAGTCTTCGGCAGGTCGAACAAATTAAAAGGCCTTTTATAATTAAAAAAGTAATAAAACGACTACGACAGCGAACGGTAGATTAGATTTTACAATAATAACGGCATATCTAATAAATAGCGGATATCCATAATCGCTTACATTTAATACACTAAGATTAATATAAATTAAAAAGTAGTTTAACTTACTAAACTTAAGAAATAAGTTAAGAAATCGGTAAGGAAATTAACGTCGGCGTAGATTAAGCAAGGGAATTCTATATATTTAATAAACTAGGACCGGATAATTAAGAATATTTTTTCCAAATTTTACGAGCAATATCTTTTACCCTACAATCAGAGTAAGTCCAGTAAGACCCCGAGATACCAAAATTCTAAAATCGTTAACACCGAGTATATATAAAAAAAAGGGTATTTAGTATAAAAAGAGCTCAGCAATATTAAAGAGTTACGAAGTAGTAAAATAATAAAAAACAATAACGATAGAAATTTAAAAAACTAATAAAGAAAAATAAAGTTAAAATATAAATAAAGAGGGATGGCAGAAATCGCGGTAGGCGACAAATATAAGGTAATAGAAAGTTCCGTCTAATATGCTACGGCTAAAAGCGATATCTGCCTAATATGTTTAAAATCAATCAATTAATATATCGTGTGCCGTGGCCGCCGTAAGCCTGCGGGGCAGGCCCTGGTCTTGGTTATGCTTGTTAGGTCGTTACATATTAATTAATAAGATAATATATTAAAATTAAAGTAATTAATTAAATAAGACCCTCGTATCTTCGCTAATTACACTAAATCCAAAGAAACGCTCCACAAAAACACATCCCTTTAGGTATAATTAAACTAGTTTAAGGCTATTGTGACGCAGAGCGCCACAGCCCACGAGGGCCCCGTTTCAAGAAGAGGGGCCCCCATTTAGCTGGCTTGTCGCCACCGAGTAGCAGAAGCCAAGATTTAGCTTCTGTTCAATACCAGACAAGCCTTTTGAAGACCACTACTCTCATACTGAGTTGACTTGCCCGTTACAACGATAAAGGGCGTTGAAACGGAGCCGGAGGACTTGTCGAACGAAATTTAGAATGCCAGAGAGGCCTCGGAACAGGAGCGATAAGATGCGAAGCCGTCGAGGAGGTAGAGTGGCATTGTATTTCTTTTTCTATTTTTGATTACAAGATCAACAGAACTCAAGGAGACACGAGTATATCCATCATTGTGATAGGGGTTTAAGAGAGCCAACACTTCATGAAATCAGACAGTGATGCATTCTTCAATTCTGTATAACTCGTCTTCTGGGATCCAACAAGACTTGTGAGAATCCTCTTGCTCTACGGTGTCATCAAAGGTACGCGATTCGACAAGAGTCTTTGATGCTATTATTCCGATGCAATCGAAATTGGAAAAGTTTTAGAAGATTGTGGATATGTAAGTATCGTTGCCCATCGGGAGTTCTGGTACACGGCTCTGTTGCTGACTTAAGTCATGCCTCGGAGCTTTAGCCTTTATAGCGAACAAGCACTCAAACTGGGACTGTATGAGCTCAGATGCTGGATAGATGAAGAGGGGGCCCCCTATTGAGAGCTCAACACGATCCATAGATGCTGCGACGATGAGAAAATGATAATTTTGTGGAATTTTAATTTAGAAACTTACTTGGTTATGATTCTGAATATCGAGATCTAGAATCGGGAACAGTTCTTAAAACGGACAAGACCATTGATCGTTGAACTCCAGGTACGAAACGTCGTCACATTCCAAATAGCCCGATGCAAGTTGCTTTCCCGGCCTGTCCCTAGTCCGGGCTGTCGTGGTGTATTTGCCACAGGGCATAGGTTTGCCATGATATTTGCACGTTCCGACCCAATGTGTGTACGGTGTGTTCCCGGCTACTCCTAGCTCAGTGATTATGTGGGGATCAGCCAAAGCCCAAGCAATATCACCAGTCGTCATTTCAGGGGCGCCAAAAGCGCAGCAGTAGGAAGTGAAATCTGCAGTGGCGGTTGAGATCAAGGCCGTAGCAATAACGGTAAAGGAATGCATCTTAAAAAATCGTAGTAGGGGGAGGTAGGGCAGCTACTGTAGTAAGAGAAAGAGCGGTTAACAATAGGACGCACATACGTGGCGTTTTAAAGGGGTCTCCCGTTGTTCTCCTTATAGGCAGTCAAGTTGTGAATTCAGCCGGTCATTTCCATCTTGGTGAAAGCATAGGGCTTGCATGTTTGAGTCAGGTATATCTATTTAACTTTAGCCAACATGCTGGAGAAGGTTATTGTCGGATTAGAAGCCCAATTCGACCTCGAGTCAGCGCTAGTGCAGGGGCCATCTGAGGGTCTATACTATGTCGGCGGCGTTAATTAGGGTTTAAAGGACGGTGAAAGAACTCTATTCGGATGGTTTCGTATTTATTAGGTGCCGAAATGCATACTTCCCTGCAAATTTGCGCTGTTATGCCGCAAGTATTTCGTATAAATGACGGCCGAGCAACGGACATTTTTAAATGCAACCGTGGAGGCTTATTATGCCACCTTACTTCTTCCTGGAGGCGTTGTGGACTTACGGTTGTTTATCTAGTGGCTCGTAGGCACTTGCGCCAGACACAATATTACGACCATTTAATAGGCAAAAAGACTCCCTGCAGCAGAGGACACCAGTATGTTAAGGGGACCATAGGTACTATTGGTCAAGAAGGCTAGGTATGATTTTCCCTTGAAGCCTAGCCTGCTTCATATTTGCTTACCATCTTCCTAGTGACGCATTAATAAGTTCAATGATTGATGGGGTGCTCCCTTAGTAGTGCTCCAGACTAGGTGTGTTGAAGGAACCTGAAGATGTGAAAGGGAATTTAGGTAAAACGTGTTAATGTTGGTTGACGTATCACAGTTGTGATTATTCGAGTTGAACCGTGGTGACGAAGGGTCAATTAACTGTATATTGGTCTCTGCGTGAAGTGGAAGAGAGAGGTTACAACCGGAGGTTAGACCGTCAGTTGAACGCTGATATAGAGACCCTCAGATGGCCCCTGCGCTAGCGCTGACTCGAGGTCGAATTGGGCTTCCAATCCGACAATGTAAGATCAGTGTGTAAATGAGTACATACTAAATTAAACACACCCGATGACTCTCAAAAAGAGATCATCCTTGTAACGTTGATTAATCATTTTCTTTTTCTTGACCCCGGGCAATCCAAACGATCAGTTGTACAAAGGCTATCCACATTACGCGCTCTACATCAAAGTCAAATTTTCGTATTAATATATCTAGTGAAAAGATTAACGAAAATGACTAATTATAAGTTATTAAGCTGCTCTTACTAACACCTACCGGTACTAGTCTCACCCCAGCTTGACGAGGTGGAACACACGGTGCTATGAGTGTATTCTTGGAAAAAGCTTAAAAATACGGTATAAACTTTGACGCTTCTTTGGGAATTATGATTGCGGTATCTAAAAAATTAGCCACCTACTCTGGTTTGTCTGCAGGAGTCGGCGAACATCTGTTGCTGCGAAGGATACAGCGAAGCAGTATCTAGAGAGTCTAACCTCCATAAGAAGTTTTAAAATGCGTAAGCAGATGTGCGACTTCGGCGTGACCGTCTACAGGGCACAAACTCAATGTTGTGCTCCGTTTACCCAAGTCTAAACCATGTGTGAGGTCATCGTAAATATTAGAGACCCTATTACCATTGCCAGCATTAGAGCTATAAACCCCCGTAATCTTAAGGCGCACATAGACCGTGCCATTAAACATAATAACAACGAGCACATCCGTAAATTAAAAACTATATCTACGAACTAATTTAAAAATAGCGACCTAAGTATTAAAATAACCATTATTATAGATATAAAAGCCCTACGCTAATTCGTAAAGGATTGGGAATACCGTATCGATAATAAAGCCGTAGTATAGATCTTAACTTATAGAATCCTAGTATACGGTATACGAACTAGCTTAATAAATATAAAATACTCTACGGAATTTTAAGAGGAATTATTATAGAATAATAAATCTTTTATCCCTATTGTAAAAATTAAGTATATTAGATAATTAATTAGATTTTTTATTATAAAGTCCGTTTTATTTATTTTTATTAAGTTTGCTAAAATAAAGGACGCTAATGAGCTTATCGATGAGGGACTTATTTAATAAAGCGAGGTTTTTAATATAAATAATATAATAAATAGTACCGTTAAAGATAATATTTTAAATATTATATATACGGCTATATAAAAACTTAATATAAAATAATAATAATATACGGTTATTACGTATAAAAACATATAATTTAAAAGTATTTTTTTAAAAAACGATATAGTTATATTATAGAAATACGTAGTATATTATAGTAAATATAAAATATAATACGGCCGGTGCTAAATTAGGATTTAAGAGTTAATTAAAATTAAAATAGTATATAAATAATAACCGAGATATTATTTAGAAGTTAACACGGCTTTAGTTATTATAAAAATATTTTTATTAATTAAGACGATATTAAAACTAATAATGGAAATAGGCTAGAGCTAAAATATACGTTTAGAACGTTATAAATTATTTATAAAGAAAAAGATATAAAAACGTTAATAATTAATTGGGAATTAAATACGAAACGAGAATAAAAAAAGTTTAATTATTATTATTTTAAAAAAAGCCCGGCCGAGACGGGCGCTAGTGCCCTCCCGATAAGCGCTTGAAGCTATAAACGTAAATATATAAATAATAAATTATAATTATTATATAGAAATTATTAATAATAGTAAATAATAATATAAAATATATTTATAATATTATAATATAACGTTAAAAAGTTAAGAAACGTAGTAATAGCTATACTCTTACGTAACTTTAAGATCGATAATTATAATATTTTTATTATTTAAGAGCTATAAGTAAATCTATATAATATTATAATATACTACTTAGTAAAGGACCGTTTCTATCTTTATTACTTATTAAATAGAAAAGACGGCTTTATTAAAATATACTTTTTTATAAATAAGAAGCTAGACTATTTTAAATAGTAATTTAAAAAGTATAATAAAAATTTTTATATTCTTACTTTAGGACTTCGTATAGTTTAGAATATTGAAATCGCTATATATAATATCTATAACTTATAAAACTAAGAAAACGATAGGATACGATCTTTATAATAACTATAGACAACCCTAAAAGCTAACTAGCGTATAGAATAGATAGTAATAAAAGACTTTAATCTTTATTACGAGTTATAAAGAAGAAGTAATATCCGGACGCTAGACGTAAAAGCGAAAGAATTAATAAAACTTATAAACGACCTTAACCTTATTAATTAATTACTTATAAAAACGATTATATATATAAAAGGGAACGGCTGCTCGATAATAGACCTTTACCTTTTTATAATAGGTCTAATAAATAAGCTTATTGAATATAAAATAAATAATAATATAAATTATAACTCGGATTACTTTTTTATAATAACGTCGTTAGACTTAACGATAATATAACTATAATAAGAAAAGATAAAAAATTAAAAGTTTTTAGACGTAATAATCTTTATAAAAGTTATTAAACGAAAATTATCTTTATTAAAGAGGCCGAGGATAAAAGCGGTATTAAATAGATATATTAATAAGATAATTAAAGCTTTTATAATAGTTATTAATAAAGGAGTATTAATAAAGACCCGTTTTTTTAAGTTAAGACTAGGCTAAAATAAAAAATATATTAAAATCTTTACGGAAATTAAACGATTACGCCGACGATATAATATAGAACTTATTAAATAGAACTAATAAAAGTATTTTATATTACGAAATAAGAAAAGTAAAATTATTAAAAAGGTATTATAAAAAATATACCGTTAAGTAATAAAAGTAATAGTAAAATTACTAAAATTATTTTAAAAAATAGTTAAATAGGCCCGAATTAAATAGAATTAAACGGTAATTATTATATTAAAAATTATAAACTTTTGTACGGCTTAAGTAATTATTATATTAAAAAAGAAAACTGAGATTTTTAAAAAGACTTTTTTCTTAACGCCCTTAAAAGCCTATTTCGAAAATATAAAAAACGTAATATATAAAGAATAAATTAAACTTTTATTAATATTAAAAAACAAAATAAAAGAAATAATATAAAAAACGGCACCGCTTAAGGTACCCGGCCCCGACGGAATTATAAATAAAGTAACGTATATACATAGCGAGTCGCCTATTATAGTGAGTCGCCTACTTTCTTTTCTTTCTACACCTTCTATCTTAATAATTATTTTTCTTTACGTACGATCATAAATTTTTCTTTAAATAAAAGTTATATTATCCTTATACTTTAAATTATTAAAAAAAACCTAAATTTATCCGTACGAAAAATAGCCTTTATTTATAATATCTTAAAAATAACACTTCGTAACCGACGCGCTAGCTTATTATTTTAATATAAAACTTATATAAATTTAAAAAAAAATAACTTTTTTAAAAAAAACCGTGATTTTTAAACGAGTTATTAACTTAATTAATTAAAAATTTTTACTATAACTTAATAACGTATAAAATATAACTAATTACTTTTTTATTAAACGCGACGCGACGCGTATCGGACCGCGATAAATAAAGAACTTTATATAACGTTAACTATAATTAAAAACGCGTTTTTAATATAAAATTAATTATTAAAAAGTATTAACTAAGGATTTTATAATTATCTAAACTTAGTTTATTTTTATACGAAATATGATTACGAAATACGAAATATATAATTATAATATTTATAATTTTAATAAGACGGGCTTCTTAATAAAAATATTTTTATACGTAAAGGTTATTATAACTTTTAATTATTATAAAAAGCTTTATACGAAATAGTTTAATAATTAAAAATAAGTTTTTATTATTTAAAATATATATATAGATAGTTAAGCGCTATTTTTATATGTTATTATAAAAAGTAAATATTACCTTTTTTTATAATATATTAATAACTAATTCCCCCCTAAATAGCGTATTTATTTTAATAAAAATAGATAGATTATAAATAAGATCGGCCTAAATTAATTAAAAT